ACTGGTTGAGCGAAGAACGGTTCTATACAAATATGTAAATCCTACTGTACATTACTACTTAATAAAACATGACCATCAGTTTATTCAACTAAAAGCCGTTCAGTGAACTCAAATAATTAAATCTAAATCGCATCGATAAGAAGTTTGAGGACATAAGGTAACTATCAGTATAAACAAACAAACGTTTCCATTAAAAGATGGTGCATATTTTCTCATTTCGATACTGATCACGTACAGACTGTTCAAAATGTAGTATTTAATTTCATAAAAATTGTTATATCCCAGCGAAGACTAAATAACGAGCAACTTCCTAGAGTTATTTATGATCTAATATTATATATATTCCTATTGTACAATTATTGAGTAACTAGATTATGTAAATCTATGTTCTCCTCATTATAAGCTTTGTTTTGACCTATAGATTATTATTGCACAGTTCACTGTTCTTAAATTATACAGCCACTTGTGGTTTTTTATTGTATAAATGATATTTCCTATTTTATGGTGTGATGCGGCCTGTTTGGCTGGTATATAAACCAAGTATGTCTGAAGTGAATGATCCGCATAGAGGAAGCTGGTGTTGGTGTTCTGGACTCAGTTGGACGGACTGGGTGGACGAAGTACTGAAGGACGCTAGGCTGACCAAGTCGGTCGTCTTTCGAGTGGCGAATAAATTACGTGCTAACTAGCCGAGCATGAAGACACAACAAAAATACCAGAATAAATTATAAATAATTGCAATGACTGTTTCCAGTTACTTGATTGTGCTTCTATTCACAATCATAGAATGCACAATTTCGAAAAGGAGAACGAATCAACATAGCAGCCGCCAAAACGAGAATTTAGAATAAAACAACTTGAACGTAACCGTAAGGATCTTCGAAATTCAAAAGGAACGTACAAAAAGAAAAACTGTGGTCGAATTTATAATTTACAATATATTGTACCAAACATTTAAGAAGCAGTGGGATAAGGTTCTACTTCTTCAGTTAACATGATTTGCATATTTATTATACGTATTGTTATTTACACAGCAGATCAAACGTCTAAACTGAGGGTCAAACTAAAGGAAGTTACATATCACAAAACCATTCGAATAAACTGACGTAAGAGCTTGAGGTTTTAAGGCGATAGGAAAAGGAGCCACAGGTGAGTTCTACAGATTCCTTAGCAATTTCCTCTTCCTACAACCTTCTGATCTACAATGCGTCGGTGAGAGTAGTTTTGCTCTATGCTTGCGAAACCTGGCCTCTCCGAGTTGAGGATGTTAGACAACTCTCTGTGTTCGATCATCGCTGTCTCCGAAGGATTGCTGACATTCAGTGGCAACACCATGTTAGTAATGCAGAGTTTCGGCATAGTGTGTTCGGGCACAGAGACGATAAATCCATTGGTGTCACCATCTTGAAACATCGACGTCGGTGGCTTGGACATGTTCTACAAATGTCGTCCCAGAGAATTCCACGTCGTGCATTATTTGCCGACGCTGGGACTAGTATGACATGGTGTCGTGGTATGAAAGAAAGCTGCAGAGGACTAACTTTTGCCGGTCCTTCACGACTTCCTGGCTGGGGTCCGAAAAATGGTGTGACACAGTGGCTAGAGACGTTATCAGATATGGCTCAGAGTTTCTCGGTTTTGAAATTTTGTCTCATCAGTCTCCAGTAACCTATGTCTCTCTCTCGAAGAAGGGTGCGAATTTCCTACTGAACCATGGAGGAGATTTTCTCGAATCTCTTGGTGTATTTCAAGGGACGTAGGGGTGCAGTGACTTTTAAGTACAAATTTCTAAATGCAACTCAAGCTGTTTCAATTGGGAACTCGAGCTCTGTTGTCCAATCCACTGAATATGCTGTATAATATATTGTATGCTTGTTATCCAGACGATTGGTATGGTTCAGGTTGACACATTCTGGTTATTGGAAACTATATGGAAGTCGAAGCTTAGAACTACATGGTCACTTTTACCTAAGGGTAGCATGTAATCGAGGTTTGCAATATCATCCTCATAATAGGTTTATATAAGATCTAGTAAATATGATCCAAAGTCCGGGTCGTACTTATTCGCTTCTTTCATATGTTGCCCTAGGGCACATATGATAACAGTATCAACTAGTTCCTTTTCGAAGGAATGTTTTGACAACTCAATCCTCAGATTTTTCCGGTAGGTGTATTAAAGTCTCCTAGGATTAGACATCGACCACTTTGTGACCAAATATTGATACATCAATTACCTCACAGCTCGGATTACATTAAAACAAACCAACTACAACCTACTGTCCCTTTCATTTCATCGGCTACTAACTAGTTCACACGTCTGACTCTCATGAAATACACTGTTAAAAATGGTAAATGAGGTAGTATTCTTAATGTATAGAGCCATTCCTCTGAAGATGCCACGAGTATTTGAGGTTTTGACAGTCTTAACCAGTAACACTTAATATGAATTGTACCCACCAAGTGAAATCAAAAGACAGAAGCGAGGAGGTTCGAAGATATATTTGATCTAAACTAGTTAGTGATTGCAAAGGATATTGAGCATGGTGTTCCCACTCGTGGTCTGGTGCGGATGCATGAAAGAGCGCCTTCAGCTAGGTGAGTCCATTAAAACTAATGTGGCCAGCATCCAATGTTGAAGACTTACAGAGCTATTGATTTTGGGGATTGATTTAATGCTACAGATCACTCCCAATTTGGTGGGGCAGTGATCACCCTAAGAGGTGACCAACCAGAAGTTTAAACTCAACAAGTTTGTCGTTGGTAAATACTCTTCTGATAGCTTTCTATGAATAACAGCTTCTGGTCGTCTTTCCCTACTATAAGAGACCATATAGTACAATATGGTAATAAAGAAACAAAGTACAATGAAAATTTCGGTTCCTTGGAAGCTTCATCGTTCTTTTTATCGTCTTTTCCATGCTGGTTATGATACCAGCACCAGTCTGGGTTATCCGTCTCTCTCGTGATCTAGAGACAGATCGCTTGCGTGAAGTGCCTCTTTGCGAAGTTTATGATCGTTTACGGTCGTTACGAAATCTAAGATAACGTGTAAGTGTATGACATAATTCCGTAATGTCATTTTGGGTCGTTTGAGATTTTTCTTTAGCTGTAAAAACCTCGGCATTAGAAGACTTTATGATTTCCAGGATGCGGTCGGTAAATGCTGTCAGCTCGTCTACGGCGTTGTTCTGAAATGAGACCAACACGGCTTGCACCTGGTGAGAAAGCTTAGACAAGGAAAGTTGTCTGAACAAGCCATCATAGCAAGTTCTTTGGCCAATAACCTCTCTCATTCTTAGCAACATGCCTGTCACAGAACCATGTTGCAGGTCGATATTATTAAGGAGTTGGCCTAACTTTTGTCGATCGGTTAGATCTCCGCGATTAAGTGCTTCATAAGGTTCTGAAACATCACTAGTAAACATATTAGGTGTTACATACCTGTTGAATTCGCATGGTAGTGCCTTAACTACTGCGAGGAATTGCTCAAGTGTGTCCTTCACACCATGCTCGTGGAAGTCAGCCTCTAAATAATAGAACCAGGCTTCGATGTTGTCTGCTCAGAAGGGCATTAGTTGAAAGGAAATTGGTACATAGTCCTTAACTTAGGTACTTTGAGTGTCTGTTCCGTCGTGGTGAAATATCAAGTACGAGAATGAACGCGTGAAATATATATATATATATATATATATCCAAGAACACGGAAATATATTTTATAGGCTATCATTACATCATAAATCGATAGATCTAAACTGGTAAGCGATTGCAGGGGATATTGAGCATGGTGTTCCCATTCGTGATCTGGTGCGGATGCATGACCGAGTGTCTTCAGCTAGGTTAGTCCATTAAAATTAATGTGGCCAGCATCCAATATCGAAGACTTACAGAGCTAGTGATTCTGAGGATTTGTTTACCACTACACCTTCTTTACGCCTCTGGATTCTGTTGGCTCTTACTGACGTGAAACCTTCCAAACCAAATTCCATACTGTATATGGACTGAATCAAACGAGTTTCTGTAACTGCGACCACATCGGTTTTTCAGAGTCTAGCCATACACTCAGCCCCGATCACTTATTGTGCAAGCTTTGTGAATCTGTAAAACAGGTCTGAAGCCCATTAAAATGGCTTCGTGCTACACCCTGAGTGGTTTCGGCACCATTCTCTGTCGAGGCCTCACGACCCAAAAATTTCAAATTTGTGGGGCCTTCTGGCCGGCATCTATCCTTAGTTTTGGTTCTTTTTCAGTTTAAAGGCGTTATTCTCTTTCCAGCCCATAATGTATCTTCCTAGACTCTTGAAGCCGTCAACTGTGGGAGTTGTCACATCGATTTGGAGAGCATTTCAGTTAGGATTGACCCATAATGGGAAAAATGATTGCGTCGCTCAAGCATCCACTGTTTGATGTGCTATTTACCGACGGTTAACTTAAGAAGTATCCTAATAAGGTTCGGGGTAGCCTGGAGTAATCATTGTGTTGTATGACGTTATTAGGTCATCTCTTATTCTTCTACAACTTAAAAAGGGTGCCCTGTGATGAAATACTTGGTTTTTATAAGTTCGACTTGTCAATCCTGTGATCCACTTCGTTCCATACCTTCACGCTTGCCAGAAATAATTCATATCATCATTTCAAAGAGGAGATGCAGCGGTGTTATGGACTTCGAGTTATGGGTGTTGTAAATCTTGACAAGTGTTGAAAAGAACTCAGGAGCTAGCAGGTTTAGCTGTCTGCCAACGAGGTTAGAAATAACTTTGACCTCAGTTACATCTCACGGATTATCGATATTGAATGAAATCCCGAATTTTTGACTTGTATTTACTAGATTCAGAAGAAAATGTCATAACCCACTTGAAAGCCGCGCTTCAGCCAGTATCCTACGTGGAGTGGATCATTTTAAAGTAGATAACTAATTTTTTAAAGCCGAGGGAATTGATCAGTTAATTTTTTGATAAGTTGTTATTTAAGATTATCTATCTGAATTTTTCTTTCACTGTGTTGAATGTCATAGCTTTGAGTCAGTGTGCCGTGGCTATCTCTTTGATTTCCACTCTTGGTTCGTTTTTTTCGCAACACAATGAAGGTTACTTTCAAAACACTGATGCAACAGACATTTGTTCTTGACTTTCAAGAAGATGATCTGGTAATTCACAGGTTGGTATGATATTGTATGTAGGTTGGCGACGTTAAAAAGAAGATCGAAGCTAAATGGGGCAGCGAATTCGATGCAAGGACTCAGAAACTAATACACTCAGGTAAATTATCGGTTATAGCTTGTTACGTTACTTAGGCAAGGTGATGGAAGATAGTAAATCGCTAAAAGATTACAAAGTGACAGAATCTGGTTTCGTTGTAGTAATGTCTGTTTCAAAGCCATCCAAAGATACAACGAAAGAAGCTAGTGCTTCAGTTCAAATCAATCCTACTGGTGAACCAAAGCCAACAACAGACAAGAAAAGCCCCGTAGCAGAAGTAAGTGAATCGCCGAGCAGTAAACCAGACGCAAATTCCCAATCCAACTTACCTACAGTTACAACAGCCCCATCTAGCGCAACAAATACTTTGGGTTTTGGAGAGAGTTCCTTAGTTACTGGAGAGAACTTTGAGCGGGTTGTTAAAGAACTAGTGTCCATGGGTTTCGAGAGATCACTGGTCAGTCTTTTGTAAACTAATAATTGGCAAATTTAGGTTATCCAAGCGATGCGAGCAGGCTTCAACAATCCAGATAGAGCATTTGAATACCTTTCATCGGGAAACATTCCCAATGTTGACATTGTTGATCAGCCACCGCAAAGGGAAGAAAGTGAAGGCGTATCTCCAGAAGGGCCTGGGGATACTGATACCCCAGGCTCTGAGTCCCTTGGCTCAGAAGACCCGATCGCTGCTCTCGCAAGTTTACCCCAGTTTCAACAAATGAGAGCGCTAGTGCAAGCAAATCCAGAGCTACTGCCTCAGCTCATCCAGCAAATAGGGAATGATAATGCAGCTTTATTTAGAGTACGTATTTTTTTAGCACTTTTTCACGAGTTTTCATAATCCACTTTAATAATAACTATGCAAGCATTTAATAGTTGCGGACTAATCTCTGAGGAAAAACGCAACCAGAGTTTGGCGTTATATCTAGATCTTAAATTCCTTAATTGTTTTTCCAAGTCACATGGGTATGTGTCGTAACCACCGTTAGTCAAGTTCACTTTTAAGGTTACTCGTGAATTAAGCAGTGTTACATATGCTTTAGACGTTTTATTTCTTGGTCGTGTTAGCAGCTAAGACTCGTACAGCTAATTGTAATAAATCTTCATATCAGTGTTAGTGAACTTGGGATATGAAATGTTTTAACCTGACATCCATGATTAGTAAGTCAACTATATTTTAGCTCACCCGTTTATTCGCCTGAAGTATGTTTTTTCGTTTTAATAGGCTTTCAGCTTGTGTAGTATGTATGTTCCATTAAAGTGAATACTCTCAATAATGTCAAATGTCCACTGTTGAAACAATAATTAACTATTGGAATGATTAAATGTCTTTAGTTTTAATGAACATACAGTTGATACTAATATAATTGTAATTTAAAAATGTCACTTATTCAGCTCATTCAAGAAAATGAACAAGCATTTCTGGAATTTATTAATACCCCAGTCACTGGTACTACTCGACCTGGTGGTCAGCGTCAAACTGTTCTTACTATGACTGCTGAGGAACGCGCTGCTGTGGATCGTCTAAAGGCATTAGGGTTCCCGGAGGAGTTGGTTATCCAAGTAAGTTTTCAAGAGATGTATCCAGTGTCAATAGTTCCTCTCGAAACTTTGTAATAGACTGTTTCCATTCGAAGTATTTAACTACATATTTCGCTCATTTTTGTGTAAATTATCAGGTAAGTTTGTCTACTTAACTTCGAGTCTTTAAAGATTGATGAATCTAATCGAGTACTTCACCAACTAACCCAGCGTTCGCGACATTGCAGAAATGTGGTGAAACTTCACTGAAAGCAAATTATTGGTTGGATGGCCTCAGATAAAGTTTTTAGGCTAGCTGATATTGGACCACGACTAAGTCTTCATTGTCCAAAGTTTTCCCATTGTCCGAATGTTGTCTAAATTAATAAGAAGTAAAAGCCTGATAAGGGGACTGAATTCCAATGCGGTTATATCAAGGAATAACCATATGAACAAAAACTCATTTGCCGGGTTATGTAGAATTTGAAGCTGGTGATCACGCGATAGCAACTACACTTTTTTTCACTTAAACTATTGTTTAACTGTGATTTACTTGATAGAAATAATATACTTGATACTCAATGGTTTTCAGCTAATGTATGGTGATCTTAGTATCAAAAAGCTGAACGCTCACTTTATGATCATTGTCACTTGAAAACCGGAGACCTCAATCCATTTTTTTAATTTGTACTTCAATCGACATTTATATGCTGTTGACAATCAAGAAGCAATGATCATCCATATTTTCAATATCACTGTCTTCTCTTGTTTTATCACATGTCATGGACATTATATTTACTCCTATCGTCATTCCCATTAATTAAGAACTAAAATATTTACATAAAAGACCAGAAACGAGTATTTAGATATCTTTTTCAGTACAATTGACTTATACAGCTCGTTTTAATATGATACAAACCCAATAAAAAATTGTTCAGAACCAAACATATAAGCACCAGTGAAATTAATTTCTATAATACCTTGTTTACACTTTGCGATACCATTAGAAGCATTGTCTCTCCTCACAAATATAGAGCAAGCAGTCTTGTGTTAGACGCTCGGCTGATGATATTACGGAAATGTAAGCATGTTTACTTGACCAAGTATGTATTAGGTTACATAAACTAAGTAAATATAGTTAGAGCGTACGTCATATCACAACATAGCTCTCACAGTATTTTCATTAACCATCATCTATTTCGAGTACTGTTTTCGCCTTAACCGAGGTATTTCTTATAATAGTTAATATATTCAAGTTGTCTTTGAGCTGTTACGTGCCTACTGCAGATAAATTTACCTTCCATATAGTCCAAGTTAAACAATCCTAAGCAAATTGCATTTACTTTATCTCTGTACCAATGATTCGTTTCGTGGCACTTTATTATGTGGGGTTAATCTTTTTTGATTGTAGGTTTGAAATTTTCGACGGTTATCCGTACTTGATTCCTATTATTTCCGTGATTTCTATCCCCTAGTGAAAACTATTCTAGTAGTGTTAAGGCTATTTGGTGTGTGAAGAACATAATCACGGAATTAAATTTGCTTTATGCTATACGTCACATCCAGTTTCAGAAGCTGTACCTAGTACTATTTTGCTATGGGAGTAGATCAAAGAATGTCAGATTCGACCGAAAACGAAAGACAAGAAGGTTCAAGCCGAAGCTTTTGGTTATACGCATATACATTTTAAAATTTTCTCATTAGTCACTTTTTGTTAGCTTATTAATTGTGTATTTTGTTTGTTTAACTGATTCTATTCGCCAGATTGCATAGTTTACAAAATTCTATACAGAGGGTCATTGAATTACCCCAATCATTCTATCATATCGTTCCTTAGCATCTTTCTACAGACTGTTAGCGTCATCATACAATGCAAGCTTTAAAAGCTCCTAAAACAATATTGATCAATGTTAATGTCCCAATAGAACAATTCTTGTATCATGTTCACCTTTAAGCTCGCGCATTGACCACAATTTAAGTGTTGGTATAAAATAGTGGGAGTTCAGTGATAAAAATAATTTAACATGGAATCATCGAACATCTTTAACTCGATGGGGTCAGTGTTGAAGAGGGTATAGCGGAACGTCTCTTAACTTAGTTCTGTACATGTGACATTTTGTATTGAAACCGTAATATTTTATTTAGTATTGCTAAACTGAACTCTAACTGCACTACTCCATACCTTGTTCCACTTTTTAAAAATCCAAATCATAATTTCGTATAATCATAAACCATAGTGTTTACTGCTAGTCGTTTGCTTTCATGTGTCAGTAAAATCGCTTCCTAATAGGTCACATAACTTGAGGAAATAACACTCGCAAACTTTATTGATCGCTTTGTGATATCTGTTGTGTATGGCAGGTCTATAGAGACGAACTTGTATATTATAATTGTATTTAGTTTCATATAATAAGTGAGCACTTCTGTCTGTGGTTAATTCTTAACAATCAGCTTTCAATTGTGCTGTATATTTTAAAGTTCTCAAAGCTAATGTCCATCGCAAACAACATAAAATTTAACACGAACTTGTCCCAGCGTGATTTATCACAATACACAGCAGCATAATGACCAAGCGTCGGTTATTTCGGAACAGCAGATTGTCCGTTATCAATTGTTTCGTTTAGTGGTAAAGTCTGAAAAAACGATACATTTTTCTGCTGAATAAAAGATTTCATGTGGGTACACAGCACGTACGTAAATTCCATAATTGAACATGTATTGATGATTTTGTAATCGATTTTTATAAAAATTTGTTCCACAGAGTACGATGATGATGTTTTAACCTATTTTTTCGTAGGCATATTACGCATGCGAGAAAAATGAGGATGCAGCTGCGAATTTCCTGCTTAGTGAAAGTTTAGACGATGAAATGGTATGAAGTTTGATGTAAATCATCGTTTATAATTGCTATTACCTTTGTGATGTTAGTTCTGGTTGGAGCGTCACTAACACACATTTTTAAAAAAATCACGTCCTTTTTATCCTCTGCTTTACAGCCTTAAACTAATCACTTGTTATCCACCCATCCATTTCCCGTGTTTATTTTCACCAATCCACATTAATAAAAGAAGTGGTTGAAAAGAATATGCTTATTAAAAAATTGTACCGATAATACTACTCTGTTTAACCATGTTCATCAAAGGCTGAATTTAAAGAACGTTCTGTTTTTTTTTCTGGTGAAGATCATTATTATGTTTGTCAACGAAGTATGTGTCTATGTAATGTGAACTGTTCTTTACTTTTCTGATCCGACTGCATTCAACTGGTGATTAACTTTGATCCTTTTTTACACTAGTTATGTGGGATATAAAATTTCACACTGAATCAAAATACCTGGCGTTCTTGATTCAAGCAAATTTGTTAGTTTTTGAGTAAAAATTAGTTGGAAAAATTAAGGATATCAAGAACATTTAAAAATACATATATTACGAATAATATATATTTTTCATATACTTAGCCTAAATGTTTGCATTTTACTGTTGTATCATTAATGTCCCAAAGGCGATTTTTAATTATAATTCAGTTTTCTATACTGTATCGACGGTACATTATAACTGGTCAGTTAGTATACATCAATTACCTGTGTATTTGCATCGTTTTCTTTGATTTGTGAGACCAAGTTAACTGTTTCTTCACAGCCATATATTAAAGTATAATCATTGTAGAAAGAAAATAAACCAGGATGCTGAGGTTGTCTATTTTTGTTAAAAAATTTATAGAAATCAGTGACCTAAACCAACTTCAACTAATTTCCATTAATATTCTAATCAGAGAACAATAAATTTCGCTGTTCGTTTAAAGTTCGGTATACCAAACACCCTGTATTTGCTATAAGAAGGCTTGAAAAAGTCGAAGCATTTGCGGCACTAGTGAATTAAGAATTACTATAGTGTTAGTTTTTCGGTGGAAACCAAATTTAGTACCAACAGTGGCATTGATGATGGGGTCCACTCAGGGTACTACCACATATTCAGACATCTAATAGATTTTTCTACTATCTTATATAAAGCCGAAACCAAAAGAAGTTATGCTTTTTCCATACAGTATTAACTGGCTGGGGAAGACTTAAATACTATTGTTACCCCAAGTACCAAGCCAGTAGTGTAATGTTTTTTTTTCTAGTTACGATTTTTATGCCTACGTCTAAAATAGAAAGTGAAAAAATAACTTGATGAGTTCAGGTTACCTCTATTCCGAGGTGATTTCATTCTTTCCTTATTGTGTAATACTTCCTGATAAGTTCCTGTTTACCTTAACAAGGTATACATTAACTGGCAACTGGTATATCTAGGATGAATTTTTTGCCTCTTCCAAAGTGGTCCTAAATAAATGTATCCTACTGTAAAGTAATTCTGAAAATATTAATTGCTTATTTTTAAGAAAAATTAATTTAATTATCTAAATGATAAAGTAGATATTGTTTAGTAATTAGCAATTAAAGTCACATGAAATAATTGTATTCATTTCAGATTATTTTAGTACGTATTTTCATTTCTGCATACTTATGATGGGCAAATAATAAATCATATGAATCCTTAAATATAGTCTATTATTTTATTTTGTTATGGATTTACTGACAGTTATCTAATAAATTGATTTGTACTAAATTACTGTTCTCAACTGGCGCTTCACCAGTAGTATAAAACCTGTCATAATCTGGTTTCATCAGTTGATTACAGTTTGAATTTTTGGCGAGTTGGATTATGAAGAATACACTGGTTAAGCGACCCAAAGTTCTTCGACACAATTACAGAATAATTAATGTGAAAGATGAAGTGGTTCACTTAAGTAATGAAATAATTGTACTATGAAGATACTTGTGATTGTGAAGCAACTTTTCACCCAATGTGCAGAAATCCTATAGATCAAAAGTATTTCCTATCGGAATTGATGAAACGTGGTCGAGTTCAGTGTTTTTAAGAAGCTTAATTTTTCTAGACTTACCATCAACTTTTCGATTTTGATATTGTGTTAATATGGCTGCATATTTTTAAACTGATTATTACCGATAAGGATATTCTTCATCGTGAAAATATCCGAACTAAGAGTTTCTTTCTGAATCTTATCTATAGTTATAAATAGCTTTATAGAAAATTCATCACCAGACAAAATCTTGATTTGTAAATTCTGCGTCGGGTTACGGAGTTGGAATTGCATGACAATGATTCTATGAAAATCTCTTATGCAGAAACCGTTATCTATATTGTCATTCCTACTTTACTAGCTCACCTATTATTCAGTAAGAACGTTGGTTGTTCGATCTTATTGTGAGCAAAAAAAATAATTCGTTGGTTTACATGTTATATGCAATCTACGGTTAGTTGACACGTCTAACACTTATTTTACAAAGGTTTTTATGTGACGTAATGTAAGATTCACTCATTCCCGGATTTTAAGCAAAGGTCGTGAGTCGTTTTCTTGATTCTGGATGACTCGCCATTTATTTATTTGAACACATTAATATTGGTGCAAGAGGGCACCAAATATATATGCGCCACACAAAACAATGAGAATTTAAAGAGAAGGTAAGAAAGGAAGAGGGTAAGGAGCGTAAAAATAAAGAACAATAACGAACAGATTAGTGTAAGGTGGTGTAGTAGTACTGATAATGGGGAAACAAAAAGGTACAGCCAGAAGAAATCTTTCAGTTAAGGAAGAAGCAACCACTTTTTATGAAGAAAGTAAAAGGTTACAGCAGGATCGCCACTGGCTTCTATTCTGAGCCAATTCTGATAACGTCTCTAGCCACTGTTTTGCACCATCTCTCGGAACCCAGCCAAGGGTTCGTGAAGGATTAACACAAGCCAGCCCTTTGCAGCTTTCTTTCATACCACGACACTATGTCATACGCTGACCACCACCCAAGCCGAACCAGAATTTTGCCCCCAGATGCCCTTATATGGCCGAGAGCGGGGTGGGCTCGCCCTCCCTCGAAATACTCTCACACGGCCACGCGTATATAGTCTCTGCCAGGGAAGTCCTACTCTGCCTTCTCGTGGCGGGGTTGTTGTTGACGAAAATGACAGGACGAAAAGCGAATGTCCGGCGTTTTAACCGGATCCCAAACCAATGTTGCACATGGCCTTCAGTACCCTGCAGGAACAAATGGCATATGAACCAGTCGTTGGTCACTGGCTTCCATGGGACTGCATCTCCACTACCTTGTGGGTTAGACCTTCAGGTCAAAGGCTCGGGGTGTGGCCTCTTAAGAAAACCACCTGCTTCGGTCTGGGCACCCGGGCAGTATCACAGCCCACACACACGAAAAGAAATGACGAGCTGTTTATTTATGGAAGATATTCTTCTTGCTTCGAATAACAATCAAATGACTCACATTATTACTATTATAATTATTTACTACGTCATTTATTCATCCTCTTTTATTCCCACTCTGTGTATGCTTATTTTTCGAATGACTCGCCGCCTTATTGTAAATACGCCATCATAATAGTAGTTATTTTATTCATTTCGTACATGTCCATCTAATGATCTAGTTATGACTTTGTGATTTAAACGTAGTAGCTATTACTCCTATTGGGTTGACTTCAATGGTTCGTGTGAAATACATTATCCCATGAGCATTATTGTATTACTTTTGGTTTTAAATTCTTTGACGATAGTTGTATCAACAAAGTTCGGATCATTATAAAGTGCAAAGTAGTTTTGAGCAATTCTGCTTTTGGAACAGATCTAGCGGAGAAATAACTTCTACTATTTTCATGAAACATTTACTGTTGATGGTTATAAAAATAATTTTTATTAGGAGAACAAAAGATCTAGTGGTTATTTATCCTAGATCCAGAGTTGGTTGTGAATTCTCTAAAATAATCTAACATAGTTTTAAGTGTTTTACTATGGAGGCCTCAAATCCAAATTTCGGTAGGCTTGTATGTTTCCTGATAATTGATTGTTAGGAAATGAAATGAATAGCCGTTTAAACAAAAATATAAAATACTGGACTAGAGGAAACATAAGCCGATGACTGAGTTAACACAAAGTTATGATGGATGAGCTACATAAATTAGGTGGGTCGTGAATTATTCGCTGATTTAAATGTGAGTCAGTCTAATTCCACCTAAGTCATCATTCCGAAAACCTCAGTTCGTTAGGACGGAAATCAACTTTTATTTCCTTAAATGTTCATAAAAATCCTGACTGACTATTTAAGCGCTTGATTTATACTGGTTTTAGCTTACTTTATATCTACTAAAACCTTTAAATGATATCTTCCCCTATCCAATCATTAACACTAAGTTATTGTTTCTTCATAATCCTACAATGTAAATAAGAGAAATAATATTGCTTTTGTTAGTTATCAGCTGACTCAAAGTTTGGATTCAAGTAAAACTTAATTCATTGTTAATTTTAAGTACTGTTGTAAAGGTAGTCTTTGCTGTTTTATGTTTATGCAGTCAGCTGATGAGATGAGAATAAGGAAAGAAACTAACCGGTCAAAAGTTATCTTTACAAATTATAAATATTGTTCTTTACACGTTTTCATCAAATGATTGCTTCGTAGTACTTCGACATAGTTTGTCTGTAAGTTCTATATTAATCCATTATTCGCTGTTGTTTCGTTTTCTGATCATAACTAACAGTAATTATATATATTATTGAGATAAACTCTCCAAAAATCCCATTTTAATAGTCTTTGTTTTAATTCAAAAATTTTGTCAAGGAGAAATCTGAACAGTTTGTGATAAAGTATAAGTATTAAAAACCCGAAAGCAGTATAAGTTTCTTGAATACCGGAGTAAATGTAATAAAAGAAATATTTTGCCTAATTCAATATAAACAACAACGTAGTTGTATACTTATTGCAATTCATGTCATTTTGAATTGTAGTATTACATTTCACTTGTATACTTACATGTAGGCATGAAAGAAAGCTTTAACATGTCAATCATATTAACACGGAAGAAGTAAAATTACTGTACGGTTAGTGAAACAACATTGTATTCATAGTCCTGAACATTTGTTTGAAGTACATTGTGAAAATATTATTTGCAAATAGTTAACATTTTACCGTCGTTCAGAAATACTTTACATTACCCGATTTTTAAATCTGTGTGGCTTTTCTGATTTCCGATTTAGATGCTTAACTAAAAGAGACCATCTTTTTCTTCTACTTACTAAGTATGATTAGTGATGTATGATATATTGTCTCATTATAATTATAGTTATTACTATTATAGTCTCCTTGATAAAAACTTTAGAAATCAGTGTGATCTATATATGTAAGTGAGCAAATAGGACCATCATTCTCGACGAGTTTTGTGGTTAGATTCGTTTTATTTTCATATGGTGTTTGTCGCTGACTGACTTCGGAGTAGTACCATAAAACTCGGTAGTTGATCCTTGGTGGGGATTATGGGTGCGCACTATTAAGTAGATCTATACGAGAATGCAACAGATGGTGTCGTAAATGATATCAGTGCGTGATGGATACCACTTAGGAAACTAATTTTTTACTTTCACGTAAACCTGTAAACCTTCGTCGCAGTTGCCTGCAATGATGAAGATAAATTAGTCAAATGATGTGCTGATTATATCAACAAGTAGGTATAAAAAACGTAGTTTTAAATTCCAAGAGACCTGAGGATTTGCCATATATGCTATAACAACAAGAACGCTTGCTTTATTTAACTGTATCGGTAAAACAAAATGGGAAACTAATGTAGTATTAACATTAAGTTGAGTTCACTAGGAGACTTTATTGCTAGAATGAACAAAATAAAATTCGATCATCCAACTTATTTACGTAGGTTGAGAGTAGTAAGTGCTGTTTCTCTAAATACTTTGGTCAAACACTTTGCGGAAACCTAAAACGCATCAGCTGACTTAGCGTACATATACCGTGTGTAACTTTTTCAAACGTAAAAAACCCTCTCTAATACATGGCCTACTGCCGTCTCGTACCGTTTCGCAGGTTTACATGTACGTCCCCTATTTTATCGCCGTCCCATACGTGATCCTATTTCGTTGTGATGATGTATTATGAAAATCATATCAATATTGCATATCTCCATATAACCAACAAGAATTCTTTGGTTAATACTGCACGTTTCAAATCACCATGGTTATGTGGAAGCGCCCACAGAGACATAAGTTATTTTACGAAAATTCGAGACGTGCGTATTAATTCGATATCTATCGACGTAGATGCAAACATACCTTTTGTGACTACTGATACGAAACATTTACTGAAAGCTACTAATAACTTTCATTCTTATATATATCTTTATAATGTGAATAATACATGTCAACTGAATATGGACTGTTTTTGACTCTGCAAGTTGTACAGTTCACTGGTTTTTAGTTAAGATAGTTAACTTGACTAATACAAACCATTACTTCAGACATGCAGTTAGATTAGATGCATTTAGAAAAAATGTGACAAACGAACGCTTATTTAAAATGGGATAGCTTTTCCACAACTTGAAACTATTCATCCGTAACGCACGAGTAAAGTTGGGTCGTTTAACGAAAGTTATTCTACTATACTGAAGCAAATCTGTAAAAGTAAAACCAAAATTACGAGACCTTTCTTCAAATAGTAGTAAATTAATTGATATCTTAGATGTTCTTGCAGGAGCACTTCCCAAAATGCGTTAGTTCATTGAAACAAAATGAATTAGGTAATTAAGCATGATATTTCTAAGAAAAGTCAAAATAATCACATAGGTGTTTAGCATATTGTTGTTATAGTTAAAAAGTATAATATAATATAGTACGAAAGTCATCAGAATTATTTCCGTGACGGTGCGTACCCCTCATTCCACTGATGCAAGTGAAGATGCCACAGGTATTCGGAGTTTGACAACGCTTTAACCAGTAACACCTTCTAATACGAAACGCACCCACCAAGTAAAATCAAAAGACAGAAGTGAGGAGATCGAAGATATATTTGATAAGCTATCAATATATCGAGGATCGTTTGCACTAATCTGGCTAGCGATTGAGGCAGATGTTGAGCACGGCGTTAGCACACGTGATCTGGTGCGGATGCTTGACCGAGCGCCTTCAGCTAGATGAGTCCACTAAAACTGTGGTCAGCATCCGATGTCGAAAACTTACAGAGCTATTTGATTTTGGGGAATTATTTACCGCTACAGATCACTCCCCCCCTAGTGGGGTAGTGATGACCCTAAGACGTGGCCAGCCAGAAGTTTAAACCCAACGAGTTTTTCGTTGGTAAACACTCTTCTGATAGCTTGCTAGGTTTAGCAGCCTTTGGTCGTCTTTCCTTACTATAATGGACCATGATGTACAATACAGTAAAAAAAGGTACAATGCAGATTTTCGTTTCTCGCAACTTCATAGTTCTTTTCATCATCTTTTCCAGTCGTCCTGGAAAAGAAAAGAAAAATATGTAAGTGCATGTCGGAATACACTCGTACGCGCGTGAAAACACAAAACAGGCGAAAAAAAGGAAAACAAACTCATGCTCACGTAATAGCGTAAAAAAGGATTTTTATAATATCGTTATCTTATTTTTTCTTTTTTGAAATAAAAAAATAATAAAAATATATAAGCACATAAAATTCGGCCTTTTTTTTATAAAAAAATATATATAGTACCAGGGAAAATCGTGAGGATATAAAATGTTAACTTGTGTCTTACGTGCTGTAATCGTTCAAGTGTTCTGGAAATCTTACTCTTCTTCCAGAACGCGTTGTTTTGAGTTTATTTTCGGATACTGTCGAAGTATCAACGTGTGTGTCTGCTGTCGATTGAGGTATTATAAGTGCAGGAGTTGTGTCGTGCGATTGTATTGAAGGAAAATCGACGTGAATAGGATTTCCTTCTAAATACGCTGCTTTGAGGCGATCGATACTGATGCTTTCGTTGGTTCCGTTCTTATCTATTATATAGTACTTAGATTCGCGTTGAAGAACTTTGAAAGGTCCTTCATATGTTGATTCGAGAGGTCGTCGATGCGAGTCTCGACGCACGAAAACGTGTGTACTATGTAGTAAGTCAGGTTGAACGAAAACATCAGTTGATTGTGGTCGAGTGGAAACAGGTTTAACTGAACGCATTGCGTTTGTAAGCCTGTTCGCGTAGGAGGTTAGATCCATGTACATCGAAGAGGATGAAGGGTCTACGAACTCTCCTGGAAGTCGAAGGGTCGTACCATAAACGAGTTGAGATGCAGTGTATCCAATGTCAGATTTCACTGCATTGCGTATGCCTAGTAAGACGAGTGGAAGAGCGTCAGTCCACTGAGAAATGTTTGAGGCTGATAGTGACGCTTTTAGTTGTCGGTGAAAACGTTCTACTAACCCGTTTGCTTGTGGGTGGTAGGCCGTCGTTCGAAAGCGAGTGATTCCTAGTTTCATGGTCAGACAACGGAACAGTTCAGATTCAAACTGACGTCCACGATCTGTAGTAATGGTTGTTGGGCAGCCGAAGTTTGCTACCCACCTCTCGACGAAGGCGCGGGCCACTGTTTCAGCAGTAATATCTTTGATGGGTACTGCTTCTGGCCATCGAGTAAAACGGTCTACGCATGTTAAAAGATAAGAATATCCATTTGAATCTGGTAAAGGTCCTACCAAATCCAAATGAACATGGTCGAAGCGAGCATCGGGAGTTTTAAACGAGCCTAAGGGACATTTGTTATGCCTAATAACCTTAGATTTCTGGCAGCTTACACAGGAGCGTGCCCACTCCCTCACGTCTTTATTCATACCAGGCCAGCAAAACCGTTCTGCTATAAGCTTGATGGTTGCACGAACACCTGGATGAGAAAGTCTGTGCAACGTATCGAAGACGTTGCGTCGATATTGTTTCGGCACGATTGGGCGATCCCCACCTGTAGATGTGTCACAAAGTAAGTTTTCCTTACCTGTTCCCATCTGTTTAATGCGCAGTTTAAGTGTTGTTGAGGCCAACTCGTGCTGAAGATCACTGTCTTCTTTTTGAAGTTGGGCGAGTTTTAAAAGGTCGATTCCTTGGGAACTGTTCAAGGAATTTATACGAGACAAGGCGTCTGCAACTACATTGTTTGCTCCAGAAATGTGTCGAATATCTGACGTAAACTGCGAAATGTAGTCCAGTTGTCGAGACTCACGTGGTGAGTACTTGTCCGAAGAAGAGCTTAAGGAGAAAGTAAGTGGTTTATGGTCGGTAAAAATGGTAAATTCACGGCCTTCGATATAGTGTTGAAAATGCCGAACAGCACAATACATAGCTAGGAGTTCCCTACCGAATGTGCTGTACCTCGATTCAGTGTCTAGCAACCGTCTAGAGAAAAATGCCAAAGGTTGCCAGGAGTAGTTAACACATTGTTGTAAGACTGCTCCGATTGCTGAGTCGGATGCGTCTACTGAGATGCTAATGGGCGCTTTAGGGTCCTGATGAGCAAGCATTGCTGCTCGGGCGATATGTTCCTTAACCGTGGAGAATGCTTTTCGGGTAGTGTCATCTAGATTAATGGATTTCGCATTTCCACGAAGTTGGTCGGTAAGGGGTTTCATAAGTAACGCGCATTTCGGTATGAATCGTCTATAAAAACTTACCAGACCGTTAAACGTGCGCAATTGCTTGATGGTGGTCGGTTCTGGGTAATCCAGAATGGCCGCCACTTTCGTTCTAAGGGGTCGAATGCCATGCGCATCTATAGTGTGTCCTAAGAAGTCTAAGGATTCGGTTCCGATTTGGCATTTCTGAATGTTTACGGTAATGCCATGTTTTTGTAGTCGGTCGAAAACAAGGTCCAGATGATGGAGATGCGATTCCTTGTCCGGACTTGCTATTAGACAGTCATCAACGTACGCATGTACGAAGTTGAGACCTCGAAAAACGTCATCTAAGAACCTTTGGAAAGTCTGTGCCGCGTTTCTCAGACCGAAAGGCATTCGCAAAAATTCATAGAGTCCGAAGGGCGTTATAATAGCAGTTTTTGGAATGTCTTCAGTGGCCATAGGAATTTGGTTATAAGCTTTTACCAAGTCAATTTTTGAAAAGACAGTTGCACCTTTCAAGGTAGCTGTCAAATCGTGATTTCGAGGCAACGGGTAACGATCGGGAACGGTTTTTGCATTCAATCTCCGATAGTCACCAGTTGGACGCCAATCGTTGCTGTCCTTTTTAGGGACCATGTGCAACGGAGATGCCCATGGGCTATTTGACGGTCGTATGATTCCTAAGTTTATCATATAGTCGAATTCGTTTTTTGCCAACCTTAACTTTTCGGGGGACAGTCGGCGTGCTTTCGAAAAGACAGGTGGTCCTATAGTCGTGATGTGATGTGTAACGTTGCTGGTTACACACGGCAATTTCGGTTGCGATTGGTAAATGCCAGAATATTTATCGAGTAGTGGTTGGTAGAAGGGGTCTATAGTGTGCTTAATAGTGACTGGAGATAACCTGCAACCAGAAAAAGAAGTCAGGCAAACAGATAAATAAGTGTTTCAGTCTTCAGTCTTCAGTAATAAGGATAGGAGGTCTATCGACCTGTATTAATCCTTGCAGTTTGTAATACTGTGGAGGTCCAATCTCGTCTTGAATATATCAACAGAAGGTGCTGATATTACGTGTTCCGGTAGAGAATTCCAATAATTCACTACTCGATGAGAGAAACGAAACTCCAGACGTAAACGATTTGATCTCGGTTTTTGAATTTTTTTTGAGTGTCCTCTCAAACGATCAGTCCTAGACGGAAGTAAAAGATAAGACATGTTAATACCAAGGTCATCGTTCAGTATACGATAAGCCAATATTAGATCACCCCGAATTCGACGGTAAGATAAAGGAAATAGGTTGAGGTGTCTCAATCTGTCTTCATAAGATAGTCCAGATAGACCTTGTACCATCTTAGTACCTCGTCGTTGGACTCGCTCTAGCATATCTGCTTCGTACTTGAAACAAGGACTTGCTGCTTGAATTCCATATTCTAAATGTGGTCTCACATAAATCGGGTATAGTAGTCTAAACATTTCGTCATCTAAATACTGAAAAGACCTACGAATAGACCATAATATTCTATAGCCTTTTGCAGCAGCAGCCTTACAGTGACTAGTGGTTTTGAGATCACTACTTAATATGACTCCCAAATCTTTGTAGTTTCTTACTTTGGGTAGTACGAATCCACGTATTTTATAGTGATACGATTCATCATTGTCATTTAATTGCATCACCACGCTCTTATTTGGATTAACTTCAAGTGACCACCTATCTAACCATGCCACCAATGAGCTAAGATCATTCTGTAATACTATTCTATCTGACATACTGTGTATGGGTCTCCAAATTTTTATGTCATCAGCGAATAGTAGAATGGATGATTTTGCTACAGTTGGTAATTCATTTACATAAAGTAAAAAGAGAAGAGGACCGAGGATGGTACCTTGGGGAACTCCACTTTTCACAGGCACCCACGAGGAAAGAGTCCCATTTACCCTTACCCTTTGTCTCCTGTCATGGAGAAAGTTACTTATCCAATCTACGACTGTATAATGGATTCCGAAGAGTTCCAGTTTTAGTCTAAGACCAGAGTGAGAGACCTTATCGAAAGCCTTACTAAGGTCTATGAAGATCACATCTACAGGAATACTCTGATCTTTTGCAGCAGCCCAATCTTCTCTTGCGATGAGAAGATTTGTCAAGCACGATAGGCCTCTCCGAAAACCATGTTGTTCTCTGGAGAAAAGATTATGCCTTTCAACATAGTTTATAACAGATATCCGAATGATTTTTTCCATCAGTTTTACAACTGCACTCGTTAAGCTAACGGGTCTATAGTTACTAACTAAGTCCCTACTCCCAGCCTTGTACACCGGACTTATTATAGCGTCTTTCCAGTCTCTGGGCAGTTTGGACTGCTTCAGAGACATGTCAAACAGTATCGCCAATGGTTCAGCAATTACGTCTGATATGGCTTTCATAATCCTAGGATGAATATTATCAGGACCACTAGACTTATCAGGTTTGATATGCTGAAGTAGCCTTAAAACAGTACCTTTCTCAATGACCACAGGATCCATCAGCGAGCCGTTACGGTCATAATGAATCGTTGGTCGTTCCTCATTAGTGATAGAAAACACTTTACTGAAATATTTCGATAAAGCTTCAGCTTTTTCTGTATCATTCTCTGCCAAGATTAACGGATTTTCTTGTATCAAAAGTGATGGAATTCCATCACTTCTCTGAGTTCGTCTTTTTATATACGAGAATAACCGTTTCGAACTATATTTAGAATCCCTAACCAATTGCTTTTCGTATGATCGTCTAGTCTTACTTATTAAAGCTTTACAGGCATTCCTAGTCTTACAATAACTGGATCGGTATTGTTCTAAGCCCGTAGAGATGAACATATTCCAGTGCTTCTTCCTTCTTCTAAGAAGTTTCTTAACTGGTTTGGTTATCCATGGTGGACTATTATTCGGTCTTCGCGGTATCAGGTATGGTATGAACGAGGACGTAACTAAACTAAACTTACCTTTGAATACAGACCATGCTTCTTCAACTGATAAGCTAGTATCTACAAACCAATCTGTCTTAGCAGCGCATTCCTGAATGGCTGATATGTTAGCTTTCCATATATTTGGGCGGGGCGTGACCTGATCGTATAACATGTCCCTAGTTCTAAACGAGAAGGACAAAACAGCGTGATCACTGTTCGCTAACGGTGGGAGAACATTTAGGTCGACAATATCTTCAGTATCATGAGTGATTACCAAGTCCAACAGAGAAGAACCTTGGTTAGCACCAAAACGTGTAGGTTTGGATACATGCTGCACTAATGCATGCTCCATTATTTTTATCAGGAACCTATTTTCAAAGGAGTTTATAGATCCTTCTGTGGTCATTTCAGCCCAACTAATGTTAGGTGCATTAAAGTCTCCTATTATCAAGCACCTGGTATTGGTACTCCAAAGATGAATGTGCTCTAGAATAAAGTCATCGGCTAAACAGATTGGGCTGCGATAGATGACACCGAGCATAAACGTACTACATCCGATATCCAATTTACAGCTAATAACTTCACAAGTACCGCTGTCATGGGATTCGCTAACAAAGGAGCGTATATTTATACTATTGGATATATATAACAGGACACCACCTCCTTTTCTACAACTATGTCTATCACTCCTTAGGTAATGGTATCCCGATAGTTCTGGAGTAATGTCGAAGTTATGGACTAACCAAGTTTCTGTCACTGCTACGATGAGTGGCCTTAATCTGTCCACTAATGCTCCTAGCTCATAGAACTTATTTCTTAGACTACGAGCATTGGCATATAAGACTCCTAGGTAGAACGGCCTATCCATACAGGCCTTGGTAGCATTCGCTTCCAAGACTTGACTATCCGAAAACCCACTAACCGGAGATTTTTCTCACCATTTTGTTGGCGGATTTCTAGTTCAGCTAGTGCTTTCTTTCTTTTTATTCTGTCTTCGAGAGACATATCAGGTCTAACTCGGATATCAGAATTGTCGTGACAACGAGCATTACTTAACAGGAGGTCCCGTTGCGTCTCTGATCCTAGGATTACCTTAAGGAGTCTACATGGACGAGGTTCAGCATTGTTTTCGGTCCTCTTGCCTATTCTTACCAGCTTTTTGACCTGGACTCCTTTAGAGTTATCCGGTAAGATACTACGAATATAATCTCCCAACTTCTCTAAATCATGCGCATGTCTAATTTTGGGGTCAGGGTCGTTTGACTCCAGTAATTTGCTAACAATAATATTCGATGATATCAGATTCTTTTTTTCAGTCACACCTGGGTGGTTTTCCCTCTTTCTATCAGATTTCGGTAGTACGTTTTGTGACTCACAATGGGAGTTCACCAATGACTTGCTAACTACCTGCGCATTGCCCACAGCCTTTTTCTTTTCACTTCGTTTATTCCGTACTGTAGTCCATTTTTCATCCTTCAGTACACCGGGACTATTTGGAACAGTGACGGTCTTATTCAGATCTTCAGTGTCCACTAGAGGCACCTGGTTACTGATGTTAGTTTCAGGTGGTGCTTCTTCCCTCGGTAATATTAAAGGAGATTTCACTTTCCCGTCAATCAAATTGGGGTGTTTGAGGCGTCTTGTAACAGCAGGTACTACTACACTGACACATTCGTCACTGTCAGTGCTCATGTTATCAGTGCATGCCCTATCGTTTTTCTTACAAGCCAAAGCCAGTAGGCTCATCGCCTCTTGTATTAGTAACGTCTTATTTGCACAACAAAACATGCAAAGCCAGTGTGAGTTAGGCTTTGAACATCTTTTGTACGCAGTGGGACTTAAACGAGTGCACATCTTATGGAACCAGCTTTTGCATTCATCACACTGCATTCCTTCGTCCACAGGGAACAAACAACGTGGTTGTCCACATTTGTGAGTACTACCAACCATTTTAGTCAGATAAAGGTGTATAACACAATATGAACACTACTACTAACCTCCGTTTGCGCGTATCGATAATTAAGTTGTGGTGTTGTAGAAGGTCCATACCAATGATTGGCATAGAAACATCTGCAACAACTAAAATCCAGTGAATGGGTTTGCGTAAACCCACGTTAAGATAAACATACCTTTGGCCATACGTAGCGATAGGCTTTCCGTTTGCCGCCTGTAGATTTAAAACGGGCTCGTGTAGCCGGTCGTTGGAATTCGCTGGGAGAACGCTAACCTCTGCGCCAGTATCTACGAGGTAGCGAACTCTCGTTATCACATCAGTGACATATAAAAGACGGCTATGTTCGCCGGCTACGGTCGCCGTTAACGCGTGCCGGCTTGGAAGTTTCCCGAAACATTCTTCGCGTCGACGGATTTCGCGTTGGGAAAATTGCAGGGTTTTCTGCAATTTCTGGCGGACTTCCCGTACTGGTTAGGGTACCAGCACCAACCAGGATTATCCGTCTCTCGAGTTCTAGATACAGATCGCCTACGTGCTGTGCTTCTCCGCGGGGTATGTGATCGTTTACGGTCGTTACAGAGTTTGAGATAACGCGTAGGTGTATGACATAACTGTGTTATGTCATTCTGGGTCGTTTGAGGCTTTTCTTTGACTGAAAAAACCTCGGCGTTAGAAGACCTAGTGATTTCGAGAATGCGGTCGGCAGATGCAGCTAGCTCGTCTACGGCGTTGTTTTGGAACGAGACCAAAACAGCTTGCACCTGTTGAGGAAGTTTGGATAAGAAAAGTTGTTTGAATAGGCCGTCATCGAAGGTTCTTTGGCCAATGACTTCTAGAAGTCACCTTCCTGACGACGGTCGTGCACATGGACCTTTAGATTGCTTTTCAGCCTTTCCATTCGAATCTTACATGAGACAAATAAAAAGTTCTGTGCACAGCGGGTATGCAGTTGCTAAGCAAGCAGCTCAGCGTTATGCTGAGAAAATGTCATTCTGCGATAGACTTCAATTTACTAAATCAAGTCACAGTAGTCCTATCACCGCTAAGGTCTCCAAGCGACAAGAAATTATTTTTAATAATACTAAAATAACTTCATTCAAGCCTGATAACTTGGTAGTAGTTCAGGGACAACCTGGTTTAATTACTGATATACGGGAGGACGGACTACTGAAATTTCGGCCTTTCACTGACCCACGCAATTACTTCGAAGATCCGTTACCGTCCAGTGTTATAGGAATATTTATATGCTCCGTAGTTAGCCATGAACACACTTTGATATCGCTTAAGGACATTGACTGTAAATGTATAGCTATTAATTGCATCAATAATTTTGTGATAGTTCCATTGTTACATACTATACTGTGAATGTATTTCGTTGTATTACTGCTTCATTAATCGCCGTAAACAATTTCATTAACGATTATTTTATATTTAGCCCGCTAGCAAACAATACGTCATTGTTGACTTTCCTAGCAAAATAAAACTTATGATTGCAGCCAGGCAATGGATTTTTGGCAAAGACCTTTGCCTATTTCCAACGGAGCTGGTGGACATACACCTCCGATACTGCGACAAACCAGATGACAGCTGGTCACTTCTGAAATGCAAAGTGATTCAGGAAATTGGTGAGTAAAATACATTTAAACTATAGTTTACTGTAGATTTGTAGAGTTATGGTCTACTATGATATTAGCACTGCTCTAATAATAGGCCTAATCCTAAAATTGTAGATTTATCATGATGTAACTGCCTAATCTATAAGATCTTACGTGGAAGTTACATCATCGCCTACACCAATTCATTGCATTGTAACAATTACCAATACGTGATAGAGAACAAGCTTAGGCTAGAGATGGAACAATATATTTAATATGAATAAAAGACATAACGTAACATTTAGCAGGAGGGACCACGCCTGCATGGTTGAGCCATGCCATAAGATTAACTCGTATTAATTCAATTTATTCTCCCCGCCTTCTCCATTCTTCTGTATTCCTCCGCGTTAAATGTTTAATGTCTATTTCTCATATTGTCTCGTGGTAGGGCCCAATGCCACTACACTACTCTCCCACCAGAATCAACGATATGTTGGTTCGATACCAAATTGTGTGGGATTGTCGCGCGCCGGAGGTTAGCAAGAATAATAAGAATCTTTTGAATATTGATGAACTGAAAAATAAATCAAAAAGAAGGCGACAGCATCTGGTCGGGAAACACACGTAATAATTTTAAAGTGTCTGGTTTAATGCTTAACACGCTTAAAATGAAAATTTGGGCGGAGATTATTTGAGCTAAACAAAGCGGGATTATAATTATAATGAAATGACTCCGTATAGGGATATTTTAATAAGTCGCCGTAAGGTACGTAGTAATAGCCGTAGGTTAATAACATTTCCTGTTTAGAAATATTAAAAACAATATTGTAGAAATGTTAAAACTGGTATTATATTTGGTCTAAATTATGAAATCAAATAACGTATGTGCCGGTAAGTTGTCCATGCATTGATTTCCAATTGCATCTGTATTTGTAGTCTAACTGAAAGAACAAAAGTATAAGCGCGGAGAAGAATTCCAACTAGTGTTCCAGTTAGTTTGATACGGTTTAATTAGATATGGGGAGATTTTCTCGACCTCGTTTGTACTTGACCGTGATAGAATTTAGTAGTACAACTAATACATATGAATTGTTATCAAAAATTTTTAAATACGTGAAAAGTAATCATTACGTGGATTTTGGACATATAGCTAACAGCGATTCGTTAAACATGAGTGTATCCGTTAGATATATGCTCTAGACTCAATGTTCTGATTTGCCATAGACTATTTATTTATATTCATACCTATCGGCTGATGGTACATACAAGTTAGTTGCACGTGTCAGTTTAGTATAAGACGGAATGCTATTTCATTGAGACATAGTGATTATAAGTAATTGAAATCAGTTAAGCCTATGTGCCACATTTCTAGGTGATGTGGTGCTGCAAGATGTGTTCGTCTAAATAAGTTTTTACAAGATGATTAACAGCGAGTGATGCTCATGTGATTACCAGGGAGAACATAAGTTGTAACCAAGGGGAGTACACTCCCAACTCATGTCTATGATAATGGCCTGAACCTTAGTCAGTGTCGGGGTAAATTCGACATTGATGTTTTCAGTTTGCAGGAGATTTGCTCGACTGCTTATACTGATGATTCGCATGCATGATTGTGTCGCTAAACCTCCAATTAGACTGACAAGATTTTGAGATATTAACTGAATGAGCAACTGATAAACATACTGTAATCATCCGTAGTGAATGAAAAGAAAAACAACACTACTTAATGATAATCATAAGTCAATTTGCTGACCGATTTGTTAATAGTTTCGTCAATTTTATCAATCATATTACGTGATTGTCAAATCATGACAATGCTTTATGACGATATCCTGAAACCATTATGTCTAACTAATTATAGTGTTGATTGAGGATTGGCCGGTGGAAAAATAGGTATTGTTGCTTTAGGTGATTTGAAATTATCAGAAATTTGTAGCGTTGAAGAAACCGAGCCGCCTAATTATATTATAAATTCCAATTCAAGAATATACATCTAGTGTTAATTTTAGTAATAGTTTCCGGAGTTTTAATTTTAAATGTTTGTTTAGCCAACAACTACCTGATAGTTTAGCTATCATACTAAGGCAGTATGCTAGTACTTAAATTTGTAACTTTATTATCTAAACTATGTTTGTCTTTTTATGTTAATAATATGGTAGACCGATTGACAAACCCAAATACGTATAGCAAGAATGACTATGATGGGTTTGGTGAGAAATGCTAAAGGCGATTCAAATGACTTTCGAATTCAAAAGGCATGGAGATATAATGCAACGCATTACGGGGTAGTTTAACATGCAGGTTATTGATGCATATGACAATTTTAAAAATATTAAACATTGACAGAAAAATAATTTTAACGTTAAGACTGCTTATGAAACTTCAGGCAGGATTATGATGTGTTATAAACTTCCCATAAGAGATTCCTGTATTTAGCATAGTGGCACTTACAAATATGTAGCAAAAGCAACTGGAATATATATACGTATCAAGTACAAAAAAAACATCCAGTAAAATAGTTAAACTCACCTGGATTATTTTTGAAAATTGGATTATTCAGTAGACGACATATGTAACGCCATTCGTGAGAAGTAATGATCCAAAAGCATCCAGAATAAAACATGCAGTATGGTAATTAATTCCAGGGTCCTTGGTGCCGCTGACGTTTTTGTCACTTGCTCGGATCAGAACAATTGAATGAATCCAGATAATTGTGTGGTTGCCATTGAACGAGCCATCTAAAATGACATTATGATTGCAGAAAACTTATAGCCAAAACTCACCGTATGTTTTTGTAGTAGTGTCATCCTTGTTGTTTGGCAATGGAACTCGAAAATTGGAAATTAGGCAGGCAGTGGTCGGAAGAAAAAAGATATTACAGGATAGTGCATAGTTCAAGACAGAATGGGTTAAGTGAAGGAACACTAGGAATTAGATCCAGATAAATATTTAGTCCTTGATTTCAGGGTTATTCAATGTATATTGAGGTTATTTGCATGTCATATTTGCTAGAGCTTGATGGTAAACTAAGTTTATTTCGCTGAAGCATGAAAATGCTACTAAAACTTGTTAACGAACCATCAAAAGCTAATTAGTTAATGTAGATGACCAGTTTTTATTATTGATTGAGCTAGTAAGTTATGAGAACTAATCAATATAACGTTACGATAATACATATGAGCATTAATCAGAGGACTATTAGAATAATGGGTTTACATAAGTATATATAGATCCAGAGATATCAGGTGAAAAAGAGAAAAAATAATAATAGGTTGCGTTTCTTAAGTCGGGCTCACCAATGTAGAGTTATGGTCTACTATGATATTAGCACTGCTCTAATAATAGGCCTAATCCTAAAATTGTAGATTTATCATGATGTAACTGCCTAATCTATAAGATCTTACGTGGAAGTTACATCATCGCCTACACCAATTCATTGCATTGTAACAATTACCAATACGTGATAGAGAACAAGCTTAGGCTAGAGATGGAACAATATATTTAATATGAATAAAAGACATAACGTAACATTTAGCAGGAGGGACCACGCCTGCATGGTTGAGCCATGCCATAAGATTAACTCGTATTAATTCAATTTATTCTCCCC